AGATAAATTTCAGTTTCTCTGCTAGATATTTCATAAATCAAAACCGTCTTCAAACTTTTGTGGGTTACGGGTAATTATGTACTATGTTAGTCGAGAATGGACCAAGAAGAAATGGCTTTTTCAACTGACTTTATTGATTATTTTGTTACGACAAAATAATAAATTTGTATGTAATATTTGACAAATATGTAATAAATTTCTTGCAAGCAGAATGATGGATGAGTCGCTTTTTAAAGTTGAATGGGGCGCATTTTGCCCATAGGCTGCACTTTGCCGACAAATCAAATGGAAATAACTTAATCCTCATAAAATCGGACATATTTCCCTTGCATTTAAGGTAAAAAATTGTAATTTAAAATTAGATCAAAAATATTTTCATCATATTTGTACAACTAAAATATAAAGTATGTTATTTGTTATCTTAAGCAGGTTGAAGGTTAAAAATGTGTGTGTGTAAAATTATCTACTACTACTATTATTGCTATTATTTTTTTGCGAGAAACCTATTAAGATATTTAAGGAGTGCATCTGATGTTATGCATTAACCAGAATCTATACTAACTACTGAAAATCTATTTTATATCGTAATTATTTTTTTTTATTTATAATAAAAATTGTAATCTATTGTAAAAAGTGATCAGGCACAAAAACAAAAAAAAAATATTTGTTTTACTTTATTTTCCAATCCACCAAATTTTTAATTTTTTTTTTTTATTTTTAGTAAAGATAGCATGTAGTTACCGATAAATAGTTCAATCTGACAACTTCGTTATTATATTGTTAAAAATCGTGATCGGTAGTTTCATTTTAAGTAGGTACTTGTATTTTTTATAACTATATTGAATAGTTTGAACTTTAGTTCTTTACAAAACTAAATTTTTTTTTTTCTTTTTGGAAGGTTTTCTTGTTATACTCGTTAAAAGAATAACGAGAATATTGACAAAAATTCGAAAATAAAGAACAAAAGCGATCTTTATATTGACAACTACTGCTGTTGCTGACGTTGCTTAGAATTTTTTTTTTGTTTTTTGTAAAATCTTTTTGATCTTCCTTTAAAATTACCGCATAAAATATTCGTAGATCATATGGAAGATCATTTTATCACTTACTGTACAATCGTGTACAATTTTTGTTACGTTGTTGTTGTTGTTGTCTTGAATTCTTGCTCCCCTGTCGTATATGCATGTATTTGTATTTGGTTGAAAAGTTTCAAGAATCTGAAAACTGATTTTTGTAAATACTGCAAAAGCGATAAATAAGTGTGTAGAGGGGGGGGGGGCGGCACATTAAATAACGAAAAATTGAAAAAATTTTAAGCAAGAAAAATGCTATAAAAATAAAAAAACAAAAAAAACTGGAAAGAAAATTTTTGTCATCGTCTTTCTCATGAATAATAAAATGCAGTTTATTTTTATCAATTTATCATCATTTTCATGTCCTTTATTATCTAATTGAATTCTTTTAAGCTGTTAAATAAGTGTGCAATTACTACATTAGCAACCGGGAGATATTATACAAACCAAATTGTTGCTTTTCAATTTAATTTTGACTGTTTTGTTAACATATTTACTCATATCAACTCTCATCATATTCTCAGACAGGAACGGTTCTCTGATTTGTTTGGCGCCCCATGCGGTTTTCAAAAAAATATAACAATGAATGCCCCTGAACAATATACAATATACATTTAATAATTGCGTTCCTGTTCTCTGATGCTTATCTTGTTTATATGATAAATTCGACGCAGTTCCTAGGGGTTCGGTTTTGTAAATTTCTTGTGAAACGAAATTTCCAATTGAATTACGATTACTAACCTTTTTTTGCTCTCGAAGTCGTCGAATTGACCGGTAAATATAAGGTTGATCATGCAGCGTTTTCATATTTATAAACCTAAAAAATTGAAAAAATATTACTTACAAATAAATACACCCCAAACGTCACAAACTTCAATCGAATACTCGTTCCAATATAAAACCTCTTAACTACCGATTTCAAAAGATATAATAGATTTTTTCTTAATTTTTAGGTGTGAACCGCTACAATTAATAGTGTAAAAAAAAAATGTTGGGTAAGGTCAAATTTAACATCGACGTAATTTTTACAGCTATTAACTAGCCTATTGTCGAGCAGGTTAATTAACATAAAGATATACAGTGTAACAGCTTTTATATCATGTAAGACATAATTCGAATAGAGAATGTGTATTTGGTTTCTCCAACTAGCACATTAATTCAGTAAATGAGTATGCAGTAGCCAAAACACATACTAACTACTATTTGTGATTTGCCAAATTAACTCCCGTTCACTAAGAAGAATTTGGTTAGATATTAATATTCAAAAACTTCACAAATACGAGATACTTATCTTAGTCAAACTGATGCAAATAAATCAGAAAATAAAAGCGTTCGTGTCTTCAATGGGTTAATTTATGCAATGTGTACAAAACTATGCTTGTACATTTTGAAATTTCATTGTTTTTTTTTTCCGATTCTCATTTTTTTTTTCTCATTAACATTATGAAATACATGAACGGTAAAAAGAGATCAGTCAAGGGACATTTTACATGTATAAAAGTGTTACGACTATAACAGTCAATTCTTATTCTTTTTTTTTTGTTTAAAATGGCTACTTTAAAAACCATTTATACATTACACAATTATATAAGGAACAAGAGAACAGTTAAAAAATAAAAAAGAAGAAAAAATAGTGATAACAAAATGTTAATTAAAGGAAAAATGTACATTTTTAACAAAGACTCAAACTTCATCACAATTTCCTTTAATGGTGAATTTTAGCTCATCTTTTTAAGGAATTTCCAATTTTTTCTTATTTAATTTCTTTTTTTTAGTTTTTAATTAATTCTTAGGTCGGTATAATAATGATAAATGCTAGTTAACCTATACTAGTTATTCTTTTCCTTCTTATTATAATTAACTCTATTTTTTTTTTTTTAACTATATATAATGAAGCTGAGAAAAGATAAATTTAGTATTTCATTAAAAATAGTTAGTATATATAGGAGAAATATTAACAAAGAAGGTAACAAGCAGAAAGAACAACAAAATAAAAGACAAGAAGAAGAAGATTTTCATCTTATAGCCTTAAACATTGGGCATTCTTTTGGAAAAAATTTTCTTAAGAAGGACATTTAATTTTTAAGTACATATTAACTATATTTAAATTAGTTTCGCCTTTAATAATTAATACAATTTTATTTACTTTTTTTTTTGTATGTTCTTCTCTTTGTTGCTTCGTTTAATGTTGCCTTTTTAAAACTGATCGCTATCATGTTGGTCATTTTAAAATGTTTAGTATAAGAGTTAATTTTTATTGTATAATATAGTTGTAAAAGTACTTATAGATGTTATATACGATGAATTCATCATTATTATATTACGGGAATAGTTAGTTATATAAAAGCAGTTAAATTTGTTTGGTATTCTTTCAATCATGATAATATTGTTGGGGCTATTTCTTCAATTATTAACTAGATAAATATTTTGTTGTCACAAAAAAAAAAAAAAATTTGTATGTGTTCTTATTTAAAATTTTAGGAAAGATCAAAAATTAACGTAATTTTGATTAAAATAATTCCAAAAAAAAAAATTAAGATTTTTAATTCGTGCACAAAAAATTGCAAAATCTTTTATACACGGAACTGTTCCACCAATCTTCCAAATTATATTATTTTATTTTCCTCAAAGGTACCGATATAATTACTTAATTTTGTGACTTCTGAAATACTTAGTTCTTCGACTATTAAGTAAACAAGATACCATTTAAAAGCTACAATATGTATGTGAAATCTTCATATCCGGAATGTTCACCTCTAAGAAAATACATTGGAAGTTTAGGGAAGTAGTTTAAAATATTTAAAACTTCATTCAATACTAAGTATCGTTCTCTGTGACCTTTTTTGTTCCATTTACCACTTTTGCGTATACAAAGAATGATTTAAAATTCTTAATGCCTTTGTACTTCAAATAGACCTCAAAATTACTTTAAGTTATATTAAATATTAAAAATCTGATGTGCTTAACAATGTGTAAAATCTGATCTGATTGTCTAGTTTACCGAAACCGTAACATAAGATTAGGAAAATGCCTTTTAAATACTTCTTTTTAATTTTAATGAAGTTAGTAACTTGTAGCTTAAATACAATATTATTTCCGAATTCAGCTTGTACGTGCAAATTTTTGAGTTGGCTACTAACACAGATTTAGCGCGTTTTGGATATCGATGATAATATCACAAAAAAAAATTTAAGAACCGTTTCTAACAACTTGCATACACACACACATAGCGTATTCATATTTTTAGTTGAAATACTCTTTAATTTTTATTTGTTATTTTAACAGAGTCTTAATGAAGATTTGCAGTCTTAATGAAGAAGCACAGACAATTTCTTATTTGCTCTATTGCAATAGAAAGTTAATACATGTTTGCTCCATATGCACATCAAAAACTACTTTGTAATCGATTTGCGTTGTAATTTATTTAACAAAATATAAAATATTTCTTCAAATAGTTAAGTGATAGCCCTGAAATTTGACGTAAGATTAGTAAATTAATCAACAATTCCTTAGTACGAATTTCAATGACACTTTGTCTGACCAATTTTTTTTTAACGTCCATGTTCTCGAAATGTTCCTTGAGATCTGTGTAGCAAAATCTGAATTCGGGCGATTATACATATATACATAAAACTAAAATACTTACACGTTGTTGGTCATGATCGGCATGGTTAAATGAAGTTGAAAGAAAGAAACTTTAAATATTTTCAAAGAACGCTTGTTTTTATAATTGTATAATTTCTGATCAATTGCTTACGAAATTTTAAAATGATTCAAAATTTTTCTACAACTGAGCTTAAACTTCTTAATCTAATTTTAACTGTAATAGAAAACTTAAAATAAAACACGAAAAACTGAATTAAATTTGCAACATTTTTGTTTGTTATTTTATTTTATGTCTCATAATTATTAGTACCATATTTAAAAAAACATTATTACATATCACAGCTAAGTTACAAGCAGAATTTTTAAAGATTGAACTTTCTTTTTTTTTTAGAAAAAAAAACACGTTCTCTTTAAATTGAAATATACGTATATGCTATGTACATACATTATTAATTTAAAGATTTTATACACCTTCCATATTTTCCTTAATTTTTCTTTTGATAAACCATTCTTAAAAATAATTATAATTTTCAAATTTTTCAAATTTTCATAATTAAAATAATGTTAAATAACGTTTCGTTCTCGGCTATTCAAATAAAATTCCATTCCATGGTAAATTTTCTGAAATTAAAAAGAAATGAAAAATTTTTTCATTAAGTTGTTGGAAAAGCATATTTTTCTATCTATACAATATTTTGTCAAATAAGATAAAATAAGCAAGAAACTGCGAAGAGAGCAGGAACTGGGAACTAGAGATAAGTTCTTAGTCTTAACTTGTGATTTTTATCAGAGTTGTTTTATCTTACAGAATTGACTCATTGTGAAATATACTGAAAAATTCTACCATTACGTTATTTTACTCGATTTCTTTAAAGGCGCATTCGAAAGTATTTTCATGTAATTCAACTGTTTCAGCTTTTTACTTAATAACAAACCATATCAACACGTAATAGTACCCAAATACTCAGTATAATTCCCGAATTATTTATTAATTAAAATTAAAAATGTCTCAGTTCCCGTAAAATTTCTTTTACTCAAGTTTATGCTCCTTCTCAGCAGGATGAATAGCATAATTAGAGTTTCAACAATAAAATTTCATGTATTCAAGTCAGAATAAACTTACCATTGTCTTATTGTCCAAAATTTATTTTTCATTTTATTACTGCTTACACCACCTATTCCACCACCACTGCTACCACTTTCATCATCAACAATTGTTGTTTTTTGTAATTGTCCAGCATCAAAGAATTTTTTCATTGATTTAAATGGTGACGATGGACTAATTAATGTCATAGCAATTCCAGGATGTTCATTATAACATTTTGATTGATTCATATTTGATTTTTTAGCTGATAATGTTGCTGAACGTTTTGCACTTGCCATTATTTTTTTACCAAATTTAAAATTTTCTTTATAAAATAATGATGTTATATTACTGCCAGAACTTACACTATAACCACTATCAACATCATTATTTTTATGACTTTTCAAATCTAATGATTTTAAGGTACTTGAAATATTTTCTACGCTTTTGCTACCACTTAAACCACCATTACCGGTTTCATTACAATTCTCTTCGGATGGACTTATATCGGGTGGAGTTGTTGGCATTATTAAAGCTTCCAATGATAAATTTAATTCATCTAATATTCGAAAATGATTATTTTGTACACGACGTTGTTCTTCTTTTGAACTAATCGGTGGCGATGGTGTAATTACTGTATGACCTGGTGAACCTCCTGGCGATTGTAAATCAATTCCATCGGCCGATAAAATTTCACGAATTTTTTCTTCATTAACTTCTTCGTATAGATTTTCTGTGGTACCATAACGTGTCGTGTATGTATATTTATCCAATGGATCTGCTTGAAATTTTAAAGAAAGAAAAAATATTGATAAAATTAAAATTTATTTTATCCTGGAGAAATTATTTTTTTTTTGTTTTGAATTTAATTTTTATAAAAACTTTCAACTTACTTGAACCGTTTCCATTGCAATTAACACCATTTGTAACGCCAGCACTATTACCAGCTGTAGCAGATGTTGAACGTGATCTTATTATAGAATTTGAAAAACCATTGGCTCGTGAACGAAAACTTTTTGCTAATAAAGCTTTTATTGAACTTCTAGATGGTGTTTTACCATGCTGTGATGTTGACGATGAAGTTGAACCAGATGATGTTGATGGTCCTCGGCCATCATATAATGGTGGCGGCTGATGTGCATATGAAGTTGATGGTGTTGCTGGTAAACATGAAACGGGACTAGATGATTTTTGCGATTTAAATTGTTGTTGCTGTTGCATAGTTGGTGGTTGCGGTGGCGGTGGCTCTAAATATGCATACGAATAAACATCATAAACTGGCGGTGGTGGATGATGATGATTTCTCATTGATGTCGAATGATGATGTAACATTGCTGCTGCTGAAGTTGTTTGTGAAGGGTTTGTCGGTGCACAATAATTTTCAACATTAATAATTTCTTGACAGTTTGTAATGGGAATTTCAGGACATTTTTTCGTTCGCCATCTATATGATTATGGGCAAGAGAAAATATGTGTAGGTAAATATTTTAAAAGAAATTTTTTATGATGAAAAATTGAGAATACATTTTTTATTTTGATAAATATTCTTTTCACAAAAAAAAAAAAACAAAAAAAAAGAGAAAAGGGAAGTAAAAAATACTTTAGGATTCAGTGAAATCAACTTACCTATGCTGATGATTGCTAATCTCATTTTTTGATTTTGTTTTCCTTCGAGATTTTGTTGTATTACTACTGTGATGGTGCTGATGATGCGGTTGATGTTGTATATGTTGTTGTTGTTGTTGAAGATGCTGCTGTTGCTGTTGTTGTTGATGATGAAATAGAATATCAGCTGAAGTTGGAGGACATTTACAAATTACATGATTTGATGGCATGCAAAATTCTATCCGATAAGCGTCATCAGGAAATATTAATTCAGTTTGATCTATTGGTATGGGTGATGATTGATTTGATTTTGATATTAAATCTCTAGTTTTTGCAAATTTTAAAGAGGTTGGATGATGATTTATTGCTGGAAGGTGGGCTTTAGTTGGTGTTGGATAATCAAATGGTGATGTAATATTAACAAATGTTGGTGATGGTGAACGTTTTTCATTTAAATATGCATTAGCTGGGTACATTTTTGTTGGTGATATTGGGGAAGTTTTGGTTGAGGGTATTGGTGTTGTATCGTTTAAAAATGGATTTGTTGAAGTATGCATTCAAAAAATTTTTTTTTTCTTCTTCTTTCTACTTTTAAAGATAATTTTTTTTTTTTAAAGAAAATTCTGAAATTGTAAAACAAAAATGAAAGAAAATTAAGTATATTTGATTAAATTGGGATCCTTTAAATGATTTTTTTTTAAATTAGACAAATTTTTAGTTCAGCAACTTTATATATAACTAAACTAAGTTGTACAAGCTTTCTTAAACATCTGTTTCATTATTACTACCATGCTTATGGGTAATGCAATGTGCTATTGAAACTTGTGACTATAAAATCAACGCAAATAAATTTCTATGTTCACAAGAGTTTTTAAGATTTTTAAAAATTTTGAGTTGAGATGAGCAGGATTTTTCTAAAATTTTCACCATCATTAAAGTTCTTTTCAACATTTTTCAAATTTTCTGTTAGCGGTCACCATTTTACGGAACCTATTATGCTAAGCTTAACATTACTTTTTTATATGCAAATTGGTTTTTATTTTGAATTTTTGAATCAAATAATCACAATTTATAAATAGAGTTACCAAAATTTAATTCCAATACAAACATTTTTCAAACCGCTTAACTTAAATCTTAAAAAACAAAACACATCTTTATTTATGCAAATTTCAAAACCAACTAAGGGAATAAAATTAAAAAAAGCAAAAAAAAAATAAAATACAGTTTAATAGTAAATAATAACAATAATTATACAAGCATAACAGAGCGAATCAAAAATAAAAACGAATAAAGAGAAAAATTACTACCTTGAACGTCTAAAATATGCTGTATAACTTGAATTATTATCTACCACTTTTGCGTTATGTTTTCCTCATTTTATACTCATGTACGTGTACTCTTTAATTTCTGCCGATATTAACATTATAAGAGAATGTGCATCAAAATGCAAAAATAACAAAAATCAAGAAAAACAATAAAAAAAAAAACAGTTTCAATTTTATACAATAGTTGTATTTTGTATAAAACAACCGGACTCAAAAGATCAGAAAACAAAATTTTTGAAAAATTACAAAAAGAGAGAAAGAGAAAAATAAAAATTGTACAATGATGCAAAACTAAAATTCAACATTCTTTAAAAATGCTTTCTTTTTTTCTACATAACATTGGTATATTACGGACCAAAGCACCATATACCTACATGTATACATACAAAATGTAAAGATAATGTTGGTTTGGTATGTTATACCAACATATATGTTTGAAAAGAATTAATGTGCATCATATAAACAAATTGAAAATAACAATAATCTATGTTTGTAGTTCCATAGAAAATTATACACAACAAAATTTGCAGAATTATACAGTGTATATATGCAATTTTATTATTATTAACGCAAGGTTCATTTAAGTAATTTATGTAAGTACAGAGTATCACGTTAAAACTGATCGTAATTTTATGAGTTTAAAAAAATCATGTTCTAATTGCATGTAATTTTTTACAAACTGGTTGGAATTTTTATTTAACGCATTCGATTTTGAATTGACGCAATCGTTTAAGTAGTTGAATAAATATGCGCACAACGATTATAAGGCTGTTTGAACTTAAATATTGCATGTCTGATTGAGCTCTTATTGTTTTTTTACCGATCGAACATTCCTCTCGAACATTCGTACAACATACAGAAATCAAACATGTTTTATGAAGAACAATGTTTGAACAATATTTGGAAATGTAAATATAAAATTGGTTATACGAGATATAGAGCCTGTATTTTGAACATAAAGCAGAGCTTATACCATTTTCGTACGGTATACTTAATTGAATAAATGTAAGAGCTGTTGAAATTAAAAAATTTAAAAATTAATGTTTTGTGATTAGAAGGTTTTCCAAAAAAGAAAGCTTTAAAAGAACAAGATATGTAAAGAAGACTGTTTGACGTAAATTAGCATAAAATATTTTAGCAAACGCATTACTCATAGTTAACAATGAATAAGTAGTTTGTTACGAAATTTTACTCATCGCGTATAATCCATTTCCTATATTGAAATTATTCCATTGTATTTCGATATCATTTAATTCCAATTCTAATTATTTTTCAGTTTTTCTTTACTAAATGTTATTAGAATAATTTTAATAACACACTTTGTACCAATAATTACGTACAATGGCTTGTAATGTTTTTAATTTCAAGGTTTTATTATTATATACACGTTATACATTTCAGTCTGCTGTACATATAATACATGTATTATATAAGCGAACCATGAGCTTGTAAGATATAAATAAATTAATTAGTTACAGTAAATGTATCTTTATATGTGTATATGTTTATGCATATTACAAATCTTCTCTGGCGTTACTACGTAAATTATAATACTAGTGAAACTTATAAGGTTTGAAGTTATTTTTATTGTACACATATACACACACAAATTTTCAAAATATTTTACTGGATTAAAATCATTTTCGTATAAAATAGTTAAGTATATTTTACATTAAGCTTCATAGAAATTTTTAAATAGAATCTAGGAATACACCATTTTCTAGATAAATGCATTGTAATTTGGAATTGTAAAAATTGAAAAGAGGGAGAAAAAATTAAATTAAACTAAAAAAAATTTTCTTTAAATATAAAAATTAAATACTTAACTAATGAAAGAAAAATTTAAATAAGTTTTAATAAATAATTGTGAAAAAGGAAATTTTCTGCAGCAATAATTGATCTTAGACCGTACAAAAGTTGTTTAAACAATTATTGGGTGGTAATTATCCGTATGTTGGTTATAAACAATTTAACACCGATGGGTGATTGACTTACCGATAAATATCTATTAAAGCGTCTGTGTCTAATAATAAAAAAAACAGATCTCTAATCGAAATGCCACTATGCCTAAATATTTGTAAAATCCGAATAATCCGCCTATCAAATAAATAATAGGTCACGCATAAGTACTCATATTAAATAAAGTTGGGTCAAACCAATGGTTTGTATTGTAGCACTTTTCCCTTCAACAAGTGAAAATTCTGCTTTTAAATACAGTCTATGTATACCTATCACACTATAAAAATTATTTTCATTCATATACAAAACTATTTCTAGGATTGCATATATTTAGGATGACGCATATATGCAGTCTTTGAAATAAAGCAAAAATTAACATAAAAAGGGGTTAACATAATGCTCGATTTTAAGGGTTAATTGTGTGAGTTAAGAAAAATAATTATATTTTTTAGTGTCATGGAATTTACCGTTAGCTTTTTGAGTTTATAAAAATTTGGAAAAGCTTGCGGTTTCGGAAATATAGGGTGTCAAAAATTCAAATTTTACGAATTTCAAGAGGTGATAACTTGAGAGGGGGTGGAGATGGAAAAAAAATTTCTTCTAACGAAATGAACTATTTGTTAATGTCTAAGAGCCCCTAAAATTTCAAAGTTCTAGAATATAGGATCTAGAAGAAAAACGACATCAAAAATTTGGAAAAAAAGGACTTTAGATAACGGTAAATTTCAACGGCCATTTTGTTTTTCTAAAGTTTAACTATAGTATACCTCGCTAGGGGAATCAAGCCGCTGCCTTTCTGCCTTTGCAAAATTTCAAAAATGCTTATGGTTTCATTGCAACAAATATTTAAAAAAGGCCATTTTTAAGGTTTTGGGGGGGGTATAACTTCTAGAGGGGGGGAGATAGGTAAAAATTTTGTTCTACGAAAATAAGTTTCTAGTAAAGACCTATGTATATATAAAATTTCAGCTTTCTATCTTCAAGGGTGTAGAAGTTTTGTAAACAGACACACGGACGGACGGACGGACGGACGGACGGACAGAGTGAAACTAATAAGCACTTTTTTCAAAAAATTTTTTGGAAAAGTGCTAAAAACATCTGTAACCTTTCTTCTCACCATTCCAGTGTATTCTTAGAGAGCATTGAGTTGAGATTTTGCCAAAATTCTACTTTTTTCAAAGAGTATTTCAAATTTTCATCATTTACAAATTTGAAATACCAAAGTACACGGTTAGTTTTTAATTCTAATTGGCTTTTTGTTAAAAATATTCTTATAAACGCTCAAAAATGATTGAATATAAAGGAAATTAAAACGAACAACATAAAACCTTTGTCTTCCAAAATGTTGTTTATAAAATTAAATGAATTTTTTTTTTTGGAATTAAATAAATAAATAAAAAAAAAATTCATCAACTTAATAATGAGTGTCACGTTGTGCTTCTATTCCAATACAATAAATTCTTTTCCTTTATTTTTTTTAATAAAAATTAAAATTTGTGTCAAAAGGATAAAAAATAAATAATAAAATTTCTTTTATTTAAAACAAAATTTGTTCATGTTCTCAAAGAAAACAAAAAAAAAATTTTTTTTTCAACAATATATTTTTAACTTAAGTAAATTTTTCCAAAAAAAAAAAACAAAAAATTTAATTTGATAAAAATGCATGTGTGCACATCCATGTCAAAAGGATACAGAATCAAAGAACATTTTACTATTTCATTTTCATTTACTATATCTTCTCACATGTGCTTTTTTATGTATACATATTTCTCTATTTTCATTTATATTGAAACAGTGGCGTATTAATAAATTAATCTTATAAAAAAAAAGTGGATGGATGAGGCCTCAATATTGCTATAATTTTTGGTTGCCAATCATAATGCTGCCATGGTAATTTGATTAGGTTAAATTTACACTTTTTATTTACTTGTTCTACTTATAATGGGTGTGGTTATGTCAAATTCTCATGTCGCACACTTAAAGCTTTCACTGCTTATTTTATGAATATAATTTCCCATAAAATCTAATCGCTCTAAACAAATAATCTAGTAACAATATAAAACCAAAATTTTTTCAATTAATTTTTTCTCAGTGTACCAAAATTGCTACACCAAGACAAAATGTATTCAAAATGATGAAATTAAACAAAGTACTTAGACATGCTAGAATTTAAACTTATTTCATTTTTTATAAGAGAAAATCTAAATTTGGAATAATACGCCCAGTAATACTCTTATACTATGCCAGTTTTAGTTGTGAATTAAGCGATATGTGCAGTAATGAAATAACTAAATTATATAAGAAGAATATTAAAATTAGGGCAGTAAAGAGAAATTTTC